GCTAAGCAACATATCCTACCTGGGCTTGGGATTTGTAGAGTCAGAAAACCATAGAATACTGAAGAAGAATGAGAGGAGAGGAGTTATTGTGGAGTCCATCTGCTGATAGTTTTCCTCCTATTAGTATTGTATTCATCCTGCTCCAGCTTAGCTTCTAGTTTCCACTCTGCTGTGTGAGGATTTCAAATGTGCCTATTTTTGATACACTGAAACACCTAGGGGTCTAAAGATATGTGTATTTGTCCAGATCCATTCAGTCCAGGATATTCAGTTAAGGGTCAATGAAATTATTCGGTGAAATAAATAATCACAGTAAAATCCACTTTATGTCTTGTGAAACATCCATTCTAAAGACACTTCCACCTGGACAGCTTTGGCAGTGGGCCCATTGTTGTCTGTTAGCTATACCATTCTAGACAGGTTAGAGCTACTATATCAAGAAGAAGATTAACTTTATTAATCCCTAATGGTATCGCTCCAATTTTTACACACATTAGCCCAAAGTTAAATCACACGCACAGATGCAAATGCGGAGAGAGGATGGAGTGATGGGCTGCCACATAGCAGCAGTTGGTTCAGTGCCTTGCTTAAGGGCACCTCAGCAGTGCTCAGGAGGTGGAATTGGCACCTCTCCAGCTGCCAGTCCCATTCCATACGAATATGAAACACGTTGTTAGACCTGCAGTGGTAATATTCAATACTCATATCAGTACTCTGTCTCAGCAAGTACCCAAATGTACATACTTGTAATAAAAAAGTGGTACTGGTGCATCCCGAAAAGAGTGGAATGGGAATTGTGTGGCCACTAATCTAACTAAAGTTGGGTGAATTTACATCTATCTAATTTATTTATCTCAGCCATAATGTTCCTTAAGTCAACTGTAGCTGCATGGTGGAGCATAAGCTGCAGTCATTCAGGAATTATCCAATGCTGAACCATGGATTTTGTGTACTGCGCTTGCACTGAGGCCTCAGTGTTTATTGACATGCTAATGGTTGAGTCGAGATCTACAGCTTTGTTCTAAGCACTGACAGCGAGTGCAGTCTGCTGGCAAACAGACAGACAGTCAAGAGGCTTCAAGCCTGATCACTGCAGCACAACCTCTAGAGGTGTTAAGGTGCACAAAGTGCCCAGTCAGCCCTTCTTCAGTAATATCAGCTAAACCTGCAGATAAATGGGCTGTGAACCGAGTAAACAGCGGTCACATGTACGGACCAGTTTTCAATTACCTTGCGGTTAACCCTGCCAGGAGGTCTCTGTCGCTGCACAGCACAGCAGCTCATCCCTGCCTCTCTGTTTCACTCTCCTCTCCTCACTCTGCTCCTTTAGCATACAACTGTTGTATTTGCAACATTTCTCATAATAAGGAGCACTTGAGTTGGCCCATCATACTGCAGTCACACTCAAGTTAAAATTGACTCCAGTTTATTCCTCATTGTTTAATGACGGGGTGTCTCAGGTTTATCATGACGCAGAAAAGATTGTTGCAGGTCCGCTCCACTCAGCGTCTGGTGTGAACAGCTACATTGACATGGCTGAAATGTTAAAACTGTTTTTACTTCACCGTACCCAGCGCAGTCACCAACTGTCGAGGTTTCAAACTAAATATGCAGCTATGTAGGTGACCTGAGTGAGCAGTTAAAACACAATAAACGTTTTTCAGGACAGCATAGATCATGTCTAGGGTATTTGGTCATGTCAATCCATTTCTTTTATCATGACTGGAAAACTAGTCTCTAAATTTTCCAGGTTTTCCAGGACACGTGGGAACCCTGGCAGTGAAAAGGTTTGTGACTCTTTAACTGCTGTATCCCCAGTGGCAATCCCCAGCTCCTCCTGCTGCATGTTGAAGTGTCTTGAGCAAGATACTGAACCAGCCATGTGTGAATAAGTATTACTCTGTTTGTGATGGCCTTTGCCTGTGTGAATGGGTAAGTGTGGCAGTAGTGTAAAGCTGGAGACTAGAAAGGCATATATAAATACAGTCCATTTACCATGTACTATTTACATGAATGTCATGCACAGGGATGGCTACTGTTGCCTGGTTGCTGAGAATTCGTATCTGTGGAATTCCACCTCATCTTTACTGTTCCTTTTATTGCCGTGTTATCAGTGGTGAAGCCAAACGTATTTGCATATAACTGACTCCAAAAGTATGTAGTTGCATTTATGTATTTTTCCATACATAGAAGTGTAGTCTTTATCCAACATAGACACTATACACATCTAAAGACTTTCATAAACTGGGTACACACAGTCATCAGTGCCAGGGACAGACAAAATGGACATTTATCTATAGAGATATTTTCAGGATCAAAATTCATAGAGCATGACGCCTAGATGAGTCAGCTGCAGTGGTCTATGCATTCTAAAAATACCCCTTTACATCTCTTTGCATCCTCTCCATTGATTTCTTTCCACAGACTGACAAATGACAGCGGCTCATCAGAATGGGATACGGGAAACTGTGGCTCCTACCTGTCTGAATTCACATAATAGCGCTAATGTCTGAAATGTCCTGACTGATTCCTGCCCCAACACCTGTCAATCATCATTAGGGGAAATTAGCTTCTCAGACATGATGATTTTTTTTGTGGAGCAGCATAGCGCCAAGAGGCAGGACTCATGCTGTATATATGTCATGTCATTAGGACCCCTTTTTGGAAGAGTGTGCACATAGCATAGAATACCTACAGATATAACTCCCTAGTTAAACTAATTGCTCACTCTCCAATGACTCTTCAAACTTACACACTCTCTCTCTGCTCTGACTCCCCTGTCTCTTCTCTCCGTTTGTGTCTCACCTCGCAGCCCTCAGTAGAGTGTTTAACAGAGGCTATAGGGAGATTTTGTGGGTGATGCGGGTAAATGTGGAAAATGACTGGTGCATGACGTACACTGCTGCAATAGGGAGATGGCGGGGAGAGGTACGGTGCTGTCTGTGAGCCACTTTCTCTCTGTTTGCTTGTTGAGCTTGAAATGTTATTTGTCAAACTGAAAGTGAAGCAAAAGTGCAACTTTTGCAGAAATATACTAGATGGTAAAAAGAAGCATTATCAGCACATAAGTAGAGTAGAGATAGGTATTTAACCTAAATACCTTCTGAGTACTGATAGAAAAGTACCTGTAGTACTAAGTATGGAAAACTGTCACATACCAAAAGATAGCATCACATTTTTTTCAAATCGAGACAACTGAATATCATTCAATAATATAATGTTGCCATGGTAAGACTTTTTTAGCTCTCGGCTACAGCTTGAGCCATTTTTTCCTTTATCATTTATTTGTGTACTTGTGTCCTGGTAGCTAATCTGGTAGAGCTGCACCCCATGTACCTGCCCTTTGCTGCGTTTCATCCCCTCTCTCTCCCCCTTTCCTGTCACTCTTCAGCTATCTCAATTAAAAGGCAATAAAAGCCCTAAAAGATACTTTAAGAAAAAAAAGATTAGCTAGTAAAAGTTCACAGTTCCCGTTTTTCAGTGTATCTGTGGATGTACAGACAACTATCACTGGATTACTGTAGTAGATAGTGAAGATAACGTCCTCAGAATGTGTAAATCACACCGAATCTAAAAATATGTGTATCAGAGTTGTGAGGTTTCAACTCATCAAAGCAAGCAGCAATCAGGCACTAAGTGATTTGAGTGAGGTATAATACAGTATATGAAAGCAGTGCAAACATATGGTCATGTGCACATATGTAAATATGCATCCTTGTTTTTATTTCTTTTAAGTATCAGAGGATTGTTTCAACACAGACCTTTTCTCTTGTAACACAGGGAGTCACTTACTTAGTAGTGCACTGCTGCATATGCTAACTAGATGCTGCCATTAGCTACTTAGCAGTCCTATTAGCTGACTATACCTGGACTGGGAGTTTGGAGGACGGGGGTTTGGTTTGTTTTCACTACTAACATAGGACATGGGGGAATGCCACAGGGAGCGGGGCTTGAATGAGCACTGGCACTGGAGCCAGGCAACAGAAACGGGCTCACAACCTGCAAGACTGATTGATGGAGGCCAGCTGATTTACAGTGGTTCCGACCAGGACTCTGACAAGTTTGTAGCGAATTAATTTGTAATGTTGACGGTATGCATCATCCATCATATCAATAAGTCTACCAGTATTTGTTTCAATGAAGTTGGAAGTTATTTATTCTGTGCTTTGAACAAGGAGACTGTGTGATGTTACACTGTGTAGAAATGAAACTAAATGTTCAGTCTCTTTGCTGGTTGTTCTGACAACATTGGCTTGTTTTGCTAAAAAAATTAAAATAGTGAAGTATGGAAAAAAAATGTGTAGCCAAAACCCGGCTATTGCATACAACCGTATCACAAATCCAAGTCCAAATAGCCAGCAGTTCATCAGACATGGCCCACTTCCGCAAACAGAGAGCTGAGGGAAATGCTAATTTACCCAGGACATTCAACTCCAGACAGTATGCTTATTCAGTTTCTTTGAATCAACAATCTCAAGCTCGCCAATTAACAAGTTGTATCTCATTTGTTTAATCTGCACAGCAACAGAAACATATAAACAATGAACAAATTAGTGTAAGTGTTCTAATTATTATGGATCCAATTGATAGAGACACTAGAAAAGACCTGTGAAAGAGTGAGAGAGAAAACAGTGTCATCTCCCCTTATCTGGACCCCTTTAGTGTTGATGGGCACAAAAGGCTGGAACGTATTGATACTTATCGGATAAAACTGAATTCACATTTTACTCAAAATTGTATTATGGTTAGTATAGACTATTTGGAGCTCCTTCTCAAACAGAATGCAAAAATATTGCCAATCGTTTAAAATGTCCTTGACAACAAAGTAAGATAATGTTATTTACGAAAATGTTGCAACCTTGCAGTTCTAGAAAGTACACAACACAAAATGCCTTTTTCATAGGTAGAATCAACAAAAACTGACACCAATTCAAACTATTTCTACTGAGGACAAAGGGGGCTGAGGGGGCATTCAGAAGCAGAGAGGGAGTGGGACTAACCTGTCTGATGGTCCTGGCCACCAGGCTTTCCAGTACTGGGCCTCGGTCTTCATGGAGAAGGTGAACTTCATCCAAGATTAGGAGACGCACAATTTGGGACAGAGCCACGTCTCCGACACTCTTCCTGGTCACAACATCCCACTTCTCTGGAGTTGTCACCAACATCTGGAAACAAACATGAAGACATTAGGAACACCAATTCAACACAATACAGGTCCAATTCAACACAATACAG